TGTATGTAAAGCATATCATGGTGTGAACCTGAGATTAGAATTATGAGATTGCTTTTGTTTACACCTGGGAGCGACTTGTGTTTAAACTGTGCCTGTTTAACCTTGCAGGAGCTTGGCCTGGTGATCACTGGAACGCTGCCTGTCTTCAACAAAACCGGCATAGGCTCAAAGGTATCCAGAACCACTGTTGGACTCCTATGTTACCATTTTTTAAAAATCACTTAAATCATTCTCGCCTGCTTTTGTTTTGTGCCTTAACTTATTCATTCTGTGTTCTTTTACATCCTTCTTTGTTGCATTTGACTCACAAAATAAATGTACTGTATGCCTGACACTTTGACCCCATGAGAGGATTTAAGTCTGTGGTTTTGGGATACTCCATAAAGTTTACCAGACCAAAAAGTAAACATACAATTACAGTCTCATCCTTTACTTTTATCCTCTGCTCTCTTGTGGCTCTAACTTACATCCTCTGTTGATGCGGTGGTCCCCCGAAGCTCGCCACAAGAAGAGAATCTAGCATGTCGTAAAACAGAAATCAAAATGAGATCAAAACTGCAGATCAGAGTGAGAAATGATCCGGTAGCTAAGTGCTTCAAGATGAGGTCACATGTCTACCTCGAAGGACTCGGGCTTACCTCCACTGTGACTGAAAACAAGCCTGGAAATGCCTTGTCAGTGACTCATTGCAACACGTGACACTATTGGGAATTAAACTGTCCAGATTTCTGTTGCACCCCATTTCCTTGAAATTGTTCAGAATGCACAAAGGGACTTGACTCATCCAAAAAGAGCAGCAGGATATAAAGTAGGAGTTCTTGCAGTGATTTTTTTTAACTGTTCTTTCTTATGGCTTTCTCTTAGAAGCCTCAAAACCAGCTTATCTTGGGGGTTATGGCGATAGATGTGTCCCTGGATGATATCAGGAGACTGACTCCTCAGTACACTGTAAGGGCAACACAAATAAAGACATACAGATCCTGTGTATTAATAGGGTAGATATTACATTTGATTATTAGTTGCAGTCCTCTTTCACACAGACATTTGCTCCTCTGTTCTTTTTTTCTTCTAGTTTGGTCCAAATGGCTACTACTTTGCCATCGATCCAAATGGATACGTGTTGCTTCATCCTAATCTGAACCCACAGGTAGGCAGAACTTGTGAAAAATTGATTTGTTTCTCCAAAGATTTGCTTCTTACGTTAAAAACCATTAGATGGTCATAACGCCAGTCAAACAGTCATGAAAAATGGCATTCCTGATTATCAACAGGCTTATTGTTATGGTTTTGCAGCCTGTGGGATCACTTATGTTGAGTTTTAGCAATCATGTTGCAGGATGAACCTTTGCAGAAAGGTTGTGTTTCTGTGTATCAGATGTGAGATGTTTCTTTTTTTTTTTTCTTTGCTTACCAGTCTGCTATAGTCATTTCTGTTGCCAATGGGATGTTTTCTTGGATTTCTACACTGACTGTGTTATTTGGCTGACTTTAGTTGTTTATTATACACAAGTCAGCCATATGGCTCCAGGATGGTGTTTGTTGAAGCGAGGCAACACGGGCGGCATTGAGATATGCATTTTCTTGTAAATGTTGTATGCACAAATTGATTACAGATGATTACAGCAAATTATTTCATAATAAGACTGCAAAATATCAAAATAGTTTCTTGGAAATACATCAGTAAGAGATGATTACTAGTCTCTCCTTTTTTCTTTTTTGTTTTTTCCCCCCTGCCAACATTTTTGGTACGCAACACTAATTGCTCGCATTTCTGCGCAGACCGCCAAGTTTCATGAACCTGTAACACTGGATTTCCTAGATGCAGAGATCGAGGATGACATCAAAGTGCAGGTTTGAAAAACACATTTCTCTGACTCCTATAATTGCAGGAGGTCACATCAAAATCAGATAAACTGTAATACAAGGTTGCCAAATATATGGCCTGGATCCAAAAAGACTCCAATCTGGCCCCCTGGACATCTATCAAATGAGTCCTAATAAGTGACGTGTCACTATAGTATCATTTATTTGTAATGTTTGGTCAACAGATAAGAAAGCAAATGATTCAAGGTGAAACAGGAAGTGCGACTATATCTACACTGCTGAAATCAACAGATAAGGTAATTTTATTTGATGATGCGTGATCATGATAATTTGGTCATTTTGTCAGCTTATACACATATATATATATATATATATATAGTCATAATATTCTTGCCTAAAGCGTTACATCGATCGAGGTCAGAGGATGTACACCTTTGCGCCGGTGAAGGGGACTGACTACAGGTACGCAAAATATTTTGAATATGATTTCGGCGACGGTAGATTTGGTGCATGCAGATGGTAGGCTTTTTAAACCTCGTGCATGTTTTGCATTCCTACTTTACATAGTCATAATTCTGTTTTGTGCTCATTAAAAATGATCCGTGGTAAGGGCAATATCCAGACACAATTTGGAATAAACTTTTGGAAAACCAGAGTGGCTAGTGTCTGCGCAGCTTACTGCATGTGAACTGGTAAATTATGCTTCCTGCTAAAAATACTTTGCAAGCCTTGCTGAAAGATTTGTGGTGGAAGACTGAGGATTTTTTTTCCAAAGCAAAATGTCATGTTTTTATCATTTGTCCTCTCGCAGCCTGGCCCTAGTCCTGCCCGAGTACAGCATGCATTACATCCGTGCAACAATTGGCGACACAATCACCCAGGCTAAATGTAAGTGCCACACTAAATCAGTTCAGTCTCTTTTGCTATTCAAGGTTTTCCACTCATTTATATATACAGACAGTAAATACATGGCAGTGGGTGGAAAATGACTGTTAATATTCTCCAGTGACATCAATGCTCTCCATGTAAGGGCTAAAAAACACTTGTGTGTCTCGTTATAGTTCCTATTCATCACTTATAGCACACCCCATATTTGCTCACACAGAGATAATATATATACAGATAATTCATTTACATGCTCTCTCCTTTCCTGCACTTGTCACTTGTGTATCTATTGCAAAACCCATGTTCAGTTGTGGTGGTGTTCAAAGTTTTTGTCACCAGACAAGCGGGACGAGAGGCTCCAGTGTCCCGTTTGGCACATATAGTACTCATCACTTCATTTAAAGCCAAATACCTCAGCGTGTGTGAGCCTGCCCGTGTGTGTTACCAAGAGGGTATTTATACATTTGTGCTCAGTCGTGAGATGATATACACCAGATCAGAGCGTCCATATGTGTGGCATTGTCGTCATGTCCCTTTTAAGATCTGTCTGTTCCCACTAGTAAAAGATGTCATTGACTTATAGTGTTACTCAAAGGACATTTTTATTGTGTGTCTATATTCAGTGCAGCTAGGTTGGAGCCATGCCTGGTTAGAGTCTGCATTCAGTGGACATTTGTGGATCTTGTAAATGCAATATTACTTTTGATTTTGCATATATTACATAAACCTTACAGTCATACTGGTCAAAACACATTTTAAGACTTCTAGGCCACCACAGCACACTTCTTATTTCAGGAAAGACACAAAGCCTGCTGGATTCTGGCAGTCTGTTATATTTCATCACCTTTCAATAATCATACATGTGGACAGTTTGAAAATGTCTCTTGGAAGGGCTTTTTGTAACATCTGAGATTTTGGTATTGGCTGAAAGTTTTAAAGTTATAACAGTTGATTTCTTTTTCATTACAGTGATTAGTTTTTGATTGCAGAGTAACCTTGCACACACTAGCAACATTAAATAGTTCAGAATAGAACAAATTTAGCTTGATTCTAACAAATTAAATTAATGCAGAGTTGCTTTTGTGCTGAAGTGTGATGCTGTTAGTGTGAAAATTCAGTTTGAAATTAGTGTGCACACACACTTAAAAATGTGTTGTTGTTTTTTTTCTTAAAAAATTTTTTTTTTAAATGTGTTTATCCATGAAAGAAGAACCTGCCCATGATCAGTTTAATGATCAAGTCAGTGTGTGAAGGTTAATCCCTACAAGCCTCAGGATCTATAAAAGAGAATGGTCATATTAAAAATGGTCACAGGTGCACTGCAACTGTAACTCTGAGCATTGAAGCCCCACCCACCTGCTGTTTAAACCTTCTGTTTTTTAAGCAGCAGCCAATCAGATTAAGTTACAGAGAAGGAAAGGGAATAGATTAACTGAGGAACTCCACCAAGTCTAAATGTGAGGTAAAAGGACCATAAATAAGAATTCTTTCAGTTGTAATTCATGCAAAGCTTCTTCAATAGAGTCAACTAATAGAAATATGGTAATGACAATAAGAGCTCCACTTTAGATGTAAATGTAAAAACCATTTTGTTCCTCAAGACAAATCAAATGAAGCTTTTATAAGATGACTGAATGAACAGATTTTTGCCACATATCATAACGTTTGTTAAACTGCCCCTTTGTGCTTTCCACAAACTGATTACTTAAACTGTTGGGCACTTTCGTAGAACAATATTCTTATTCAATTTCCCTTTGAATAAAATATTGTGTAAACCCTGTTGGCTTACTTCCTTTCCGGCTCTCTTTTCCCAATTCCCTCTTTCCTCTCCTCATCTTTTCACTGTCCTCCCTTCTTACGTTCTCCTGCCTTCTTCAACTCTTGACCATTCCTGGTGTGTTGGACCCCTGCAGCGTTTTTGGGCAAGTATTCTCCTCCTGTTTTTTGCCTCACAGCCCCTGTATTCTTTGTATTCTCTTATCACCGGCAGACTTTGGATGTAACGTCTTTTCCTTTGGTTCACTCTGTCTGATGCGGCGGACTCACAAAGACGGAAGCATTTTGTTCTAATGATCTGTTTTCCTTCGTATGCTGGTTTCTGATTAATAATGACAGTTCTGTGACACTGAATCAAGCTGCTATTTGCTCTGAGAAGCAGTGCTTCGCATGCAATGTGGACCCACAGTGCGGCGCAGACAGTGTGTGCGGGTCTGTGTGTGCAAGTGTGTATTTAACCCCCCACCTGTTCCAATGGCCCTCAGATGTGGTTTTGGCACTAACCTACTGTAGCAGGAAGAACAGAGGACAGGATGTTTGCATTATTTAAAGGTGAAACCATAAAGGAGAAAGCTGTGAGTCTGTACCCCGAACATGAGTTAGTGTGAGTCTTTGTTTTCCTCACTTTTCTCCTTTTTGACTCACTTTGATTTTTACAACCTTGTTAAATAACTCCTAATGAAAGACAGGATACTTCTGAACACACTAAG